GTGTCTCATCAGCTCACAGGAGTTTAATAAGAGAATCAGTGTGTTGTACTGAGTAAAAACTGCCCTCAGAGTCAGAAAAATCTGAATCTAAACCCTGCCTCCAGCATGTACTAGCTGTATGACAAAATGAAAATTATTTACAAGTTTCAGAAAATGTGCCCCCAGGTCTGGATATCTAGCCCTAGTCTCTCTCCCAGGAGCCAGTCCTATATCACCAACTATTATTTCAACTTGGATGTCCCATGGGAATCTCAAACCCAATGTGTCCAAATCTGAAACCCACCATGTCTTTCAAACTTCTCTATGTATGTCAAAAGCACCACCATGTCTATGTTAGGAACCTTAATGACATCTTCCTCACTCTCTCTTATCCCATCTATATCCATTCTGTTGATGAATCGTGTCAATTCTACCTCCAAGCACACCTTAAATTTGTTCCCCTCTCTCCACTCAGCTTCAATCCTAATTTAAGCCCTAATTAACTCTCACCTGGATCATTAGAATAGCCTCCTAATTGGTCTCACTGCCTCAAATTTCTCCCTACTCCAGTCCATTCTTCACAGAGCTATTAAGGAAATTTCCCTGAAGTATAAGTCTGATCATTTCGTTCCTCTCCTCAACAAATACTAGTATTTCCCTACTATGTCTAAGATAAAATATAAATTCCTCCTGTTGGCTTTTAAAGCCTTCACAACCTAGACCCAGTACACCTTCCCAGGCTTATTAAACATCACCTCCCTTCCCATGTATTGCAACCACACCAAACTGAACTTCTTACTGTTCCTCAAACACAATCCTCCATCTCTAACCTCTGTGTCTTTGCATTAACTGTCCTTCATGCCTAGAATAAAGTCCTTGCTCAATTCCATCCAAGGGCCCTTTCAGTTTCTTTCAAGGACTGGCTCCAGTGCCTTCCTCATAAAGCCTTCCTTATAATCCCAGCTGCTAGTACCTTCATACAAAATCACCTCAATATATTCTCTATATGTATATACTTCTATATATACATACATGTCTTTTCCAACTAGACTATAAACACCTCAAGACAGGAACTATTTCTCTTTTATATTTGTATTCCTAGAATCTAGCACAGAACCAGAAAACAGTAGGTGCTTAATAAGTGCTTGCTGATTGAATGATTGATTGGGACAAGTAAATGATCACAGTGACACTTCAACTAACTTTCACAATCATTAAAAAAAGAAAAAAGAGTACCATAGTCTACCTGCCAAGACAAACCCTGGAACTATATGAACACAATGACAATACACTTTTCACACAAATAAAGTCAGATTGAAACAATCAGAGAAATATTAATTGCTCATGGGTAGACTGAGCTAATATAATAAAAATGACAATTCTACCTAAATCTATCTATTTATTCAGTGTCATACCAATCAAACTACCAAACAATTATATTATAGAGCTAGAAAAAATAATAACAAAATTTATCTGGAAGAACAAAAGGTCAAGAATGAAAAAAGGTGAAGGACGGTGATTTAGCTGTACCAGATCTCAAACCGTATCAAAAGTAGTAATCATCAAAACAATCTGGTACTGGCTAAGAAACAGAGTGGTGGATCAGTGGGATAGATTAAGTATATAATATATAGTAGTAAATGACCATGGTAATCAAGTGTTTGATAAACTGAAATATCCAAACTTTTGGGACAAGAGTTCACTATTTGACAAAAACTGCTGGGAAAACTGGAAAGCTGTTTGGCAGAAATCAGGAATAGATCAACATCTCATATCGTTTAACAAGATAAAGTCAGAATGGTTACGAGTTAGACATAAAGGGCAATACCAAAAGCAAATTAGGGTAGCATGAAATAGTTTACCTGTCAGATTTATTCATAAGGGAAGAATCCATGACCATACAAGAGGCAGAGAGCATTAGAAAATACAAAATGGATGCTTTTTATTACATTAAATTAAAAAGGCTTTACACAAACAAAATCATTGCAGCCAATATTAGAAAGAAAGCAGAAAACTGGAGGAAGAGGGGAATTTTACAGCAAATTTCTCTGATAAAGGCCTCATTTCTCAAATACATAGCAAACAGAGTCAAATTTCTAAGACTACAAGTCATTCTCCAATTGACAAGTGGTCAAAGGATATGAACAGGCAGTTTTCAGATGAAGTCAAAGCTACCTATAGTCATATAAAAATGCTCTAAATCACTGTTGATTAGAGAAATGCAAATTAAAACAACTCTGAGGTACCACTTTACACCTATCATATTGGTTAATATGAAAGAAAAAGAAAATGACAAATGTTGAAGGGGATGTGGAAAAATTGGGACACTAATGCTATGTTGGTGGAGTTGTGAACTGATCCAACCATTCTGGAGAACAAATTAGAACTATGCCCCAAAAGGCTAAAATTTCTGCATACCCTGACCAGCAATAGCACTACTGGGTCTATATACCAAAGAGATTTTTTTAAAAAAGGAAAAAGACCTATATATACAAAAATATTTATAGCAACTCTTTTTGTGGTAGCAAAGAACAGGAAATTGAGGGGATGTCCATCAAGTGGGTAATGGCTGAACAAGCTGTTCAATGTTGATTGCAATGGAGACTATTGTGCTATAAGAAATGATGAGCAGGAAAAACCTGCAAAGACATGAATTGATGCAAAGTGAAGTGAGTAGAACCAGGAGAACATCATGCACAGTAACCGTAATATTGTATGATATCAACTGTGAATGACTTAGCTATTCCTAGCAATACAATGATCTAAGACAATTAATTCTGAAGGACTCATGATGAAAAATGCTATCCACCTTCAGAGAAAGAACTGATGAAGTCTGAATACACATCAAAGCATACTTTTCTTTTAACTTAATTTTTCTTGGACATTTTTTTGTCTGTTTTCTTTCACAATATGACTAATATGGGAATATGTTTTTCATGACTGTACATGTATAACCTCCATCAAATTGTTTGACTGTTCAGTGAGGGTGGAGGAAAGGAAGGGAGGGAGAGAACTTGGAACTAAAAAATGTTTTTAATGTTTAAAATCTTTTACATGTAATGGAAAAAATAAAATATTCAAAAATAAGAGTATCATAACATATCATAGAGAATTAATCACAGAGGGTTTATATGGTCATTGCTTCATTTAAGTGATAGGTGGAGTATGGAATAGTGGATAGAATACTGGTCTTAAAGTCAAGATGGGCTCAAATATATCTGTGTAACCAAAATACCTTTGTTCCAAAGGCAACTCCCTTAGACTTATCTATTAAGTCAGAGATGAACTTCCTCTGGGAAAGGAGCTCCCCATGTTGATGGTGTCATCATATCACAAGATGAAATCCTGGTATTACATGCTAGAGTTAAATTATTTGTGTAAAGCACAGAATGAAAGTAGAAACAGGAATAACAAAGTATGTCTTCTCAAGATATTATGTTTGAAGCCTCACAGATACCATAAGGATGGAGGAGAGGAAAAAATGAATTCTCTATTGTCTCTAAAATCCATCTTGAATGGACCAGATCATGACCTTTCTGCTAACACCAAATTATTCCAAAGGCCTATGCCTTCATCCATCCCTGCACAGCTTTCACACATGCATTTCTCAAGTGATTCACCATGCCTCAATGAAGAATAATAATAATAGTAGCATTTGTGTAATTGCTTTAAGGTTGGCAGAGTACTTCACAAATACTATCTCATTTTATCAGTCTTTCTAACCTGGTGTTAGTCAAAATAATTCATCCTCTATGGACCAAGTGGCTAATGATGAATTTTTCCCAATAGAGCCATTTTGGTACTCTCACAACAGACATACAATCCCCCAGAAAGCCTATACTTGAAACTTTTATTAAAAAAAAAAACTTATTTGGATCTGCCAGAGCTTATGCTCTTTCTTCCTTCCGCATATTTGTTACTCCACACCATGATGAGCTGTGAGAGAAGGACTCTGGTAGAAGAAACAAGCAATAAGAAACCAAAAATTGGAAATCAATCAAAACTGATTATACACTGCTAAGGGCAGCTATCTCCACCCCAGTTCCCACATGTCAAGTAGTGAAAGAGTTCAAGCCAATGCTTGTTGTTGTTATTAAAAGGCTACTTTGATGACCAAGTGGGCCAGGCACTATGCACAAAATTGGTTCAAGACTTATAAGATGTTATGAAATAAGCCATACACCAATACTCACAATGGATCTAGGATCTCTCTGATGTGGGTAGTCCTTTCAACAACAGAGATACTTTCCATTCCTGACCATGCTGTGTGATTCTCATCTATGTCCTCCCATAAATTTACTATTTAAGAGGCTCCATCCAATAACTTACTAACCTTCTTCATGTTCTCTTCACATTGTGTGGATACCAGTAGAGTGCACAGGCTACCCATAAGTTGTCCTTCACTCTTACTTTGTGACTGGTCCATTGTTTCTTCCATTAACCATATGGAGCCCATACTCGAAGTTTTTTGAGCTTGGTTGGACCTACCAGAGCTTTCTGTGTATTTATTACCCTCAGTCCCCTCTACACCTGATGAGATATAAGAGAAGAATTCTAGTGGAAGAAACACACAATGAGAAACCAAAAATCAGAAATCAAACAAAACTGGTGATACATAGCTAAGGACAAGATATCCCACTCACACAATCCCCGTTTTCCTTACATCAAGTAGCAAAAGAGTTCAAATTGATAATGATGATGATGATGATAAGGAGGAGATGACCAAGTGGTCCAGGGATTATGCACAAAGTTGGTTCAAGGCTGATATATTCAAATCAGTTTCTTTTTTTTTTTTTGGTGAGGCAATTGGGGTTAAGTGACTTGCCCAGGGTCACACAGCTAGTAAGTGTCAAGTGCTTGGTCTGAGGCCGGATTTGAACTCAGGTACTCCTGACTTCAGGGCTGGTGCTCTATCCACTGTGCCACCTAGCTGCCCCAAAATCAGTTTCTTTTAATGTCATATGGCATCTTGGAAATATTTGTCAGATCAGAACTGATGGAATCATCTCACTTTATTTTAGAAAAAGAAGGCAGAAGAAAGGTCTGTCTGTGTCTACTGGAAAGCACTGGAAGATGAGGGAGGTGTCTGGTCCAAAGATCTTTGCAACCTCAGCAAGTCCAATGAAACACACACCAGCTGCAACTGCACCCACTTGTCTACCTTTGCTGTCCTGATGGCTCCCAAATCCCAGGTACATGTCATGTCCATTCAAACCAAAGCCTCCAAATAAATCTGCTGTAAGCAGAATCATAGACCCCTAGTGGGAAAAGTCCATGGAGAGTGAGGTCATGAGTTCTTTTGCTCTGTTGCTAGGTAACCCTCAGATGAAACTGTTTCTAACAAGTGAAAAATGTCCCTGTTTCTTAAATGAAGGTGATGTCATGGGTTTCCTAAATAATCTTTGCCAAACTTAATCATTCCCATTGTGTGTTTAACCAAACTGAGTCTCCCAGGCTACACACTAATGTTTTCTCCTGTCTTCCTAGATTAAGGATGGCTGATCACTATCCTCTGTGTATCTTGGTTCAGTCCAATGTAACAAGCATTTATTAAGTTCTAGTCTCTATGCTAATTGCTGAAGATAAAAGAACAAAACCCACTTCCTCCTTTTAAGGAACTTATATTCGTTCTACTGGGAGAATGCAAATGTTCTCTCTGCTTCCTATAAAAGTTATTAAATTATTCCTCTGTCCTCTTTTCACCAGGCAATTCACTTTTCCACATTGACCTTATTTTCCAAACATCCCACCCTTTCAAAGGTTTATCCCCAGTGCTCTATTTCCATCTAAAGCAGGGGTTCTTAACCTGTTATATATAAAGCATATGTTTCAGGGGTCCATGAACTTGGATGAGGAAAAAAAATACATCTTTATTTTCTGCCCTCTAACTGAAATTTAGCATTTCCTTACATTATGAATACAGGAAATAAACCACCATTCTGAGAAGGGGTCCATAGACTTCACCAGACCACCAAAGGGGTTCATGACACACACATACACAAAAAGATATAGGTAGCACAGTAGATAGAGTTCTAGCCTTGGAGTCAGGAGGACCTGAGTTCAAATCTGACCTCAGACACTTGACACTTACTAGCTGTCTGACCCTGGGCAAGTCACTTAACCCCGATTGCCTCACCAAAAAAAAGATATTAAGAATCTCTGCTCTAAACTAGTTACAGAGATGGCCACTGCCTAGCTCACCTTATTTACTCACATTTGAGTTCTTCAAGGATCTGACCTCAACTATGGAGATCACAGAATCACTCTTAGAACTAGAAGGAGGGGCAGCTAGGTGGCACAGTGGGTAGAGCATCAGCCTTGAAGTCAGGAGGACCTGAGTTGAAATCTGTCCTCAGACTTACTAGCTGTGTGACCCTGGGCAAGTCACTTATCCCCAATTGCCTAAAAAAAAAAGAACTAGAAGGAACCTCAGGGATAGTATACAGGTGAGGAAACTGAGACCTGAGGAGGCTCAGTGACTTAACCTAACTCACATGTGTATTAAGTGTCAGAGGCAGGATATGAACCTGGATCTTCTGATTCTACATAGAGTGAATAAAGATCATAATGCCTCTGTACCTTAACAGATAGCCTTTGCTGGTTGCTGTGATGGAGGAAGTTCATTATCTCATTACTAAACTTGGATTATATCTTCCTTCAGTAAGCCTGGTACTCAAACAACAGGGGGAAAAAATGGACTATTGCTGAGTTACCCATGAAGTTTTTCTGACTTCCAGATGTTTCCTGTTGCTATAGTTGTATCTAGTTAAAACTGTACTTGGGGCAAATTCAATTGAACTGGAAGAAGAGTCCCGTAGTTCCGAGCAGGGCTGTAGGATCAGTCAGCAAACATCTGTGAAGCACTTACTGTGTGCTAGCTACTGCGCTAAGTGCTGGAGACACAAAGAAAGGGAGGAAAACCAACCCCTGATCTCAAGGATTTCACAGTGCAAGGCACCAAAAAGGTATTGCCCCCCCCATAAAGTCTCCAAAGGGTACTTGTGCCCTAAGCCACCAAAAGACCATGAAGCAAAGTGAGCAGAGTAGCCTTGTGGCAGAAATGCCCTAATCCCAGGAAGAAAACACACGCATCAGTGTTGGTGCCCTAGGTCAAAGTTCCATTTGTCCCACTCTAGTTATAGTTCTGCTAGCATGGACTTCAAGACCCCAGGATCTCCCAGAATCACAGAAGCTCAGAGTCAAATGGGACCATCTAGTTGTAGTCCTACCTACACTTGAGAAAGAATCCCATCGACAATATTGCCAACAAATGCTCATCAAACTCTTGCTTAAAGATCTCTAGTGCAATCTGGATACAGGTCATTCAGTCAATCAATCAATCAAATCAAGATGCAATGAGTAAGTCCCAGGCACTGTGCTGGCCATTGTAGATACAAAACAAATAAAATAACCCTTGCCCTCAGGGAGTTTACATTTTAACAAAGGAGACAACCTAGATAAAAGACATATACAAAACATGGGCAGTTGGAGGAGGGGGAGGTGCTGGCAGGTGCACAAGGTTCCACTTGAGCCAAGTCTTAAAGAATTTAGCAATTTCAAGAGGAAGAAGGGAAGAAGGAGTGGGATGGGGGTATGAATTGGGGGAGATGGGACAGCCAGTGCAAAGGCCCAAAGATGAGCAAATCCAAGAAGGCCAGTTAGGCTGGACTGTGGAGTGACGTGTAATAAGTCTAGAAAGAAAGGATAGGGGCAGGTTATGAGGAGCTTTGACTGAGAAGTGCAGGCATTTATATTGACTTTGTGGTAGGCAGATGCCATTGTTAAATATACACTTCAGGAAATCACTTCAGCAGCCATGTGGAGGATGGATTGGAATGGGGGAAACTTGAGTCAGGCAGTCCAGTTAGAAGGCCACTGCAATCATCCAGGCAGGAGATGATGAGGGCTTGAATGAGGGCTGGGAGGTGGAGAAAGCGGATGGATGTTAGATATGTCATTAAGGTCAAATGGACAGATTTGGCAATTGATTAGATACATGGGCTTGATGGAAAATGAGGAGTCAAGAATGACACCAGTGTTGCAAACCTAGGGGGCTAGAAGGTGGTTCTCTCAAAAATAACAGTCAAATTCAGAAGAGGGATGAGTATGAGGGAAAATATTATGAGTTCTGTTTTGGACATCTTGAGTTTGAGATGCCCATAGGATATCTAATTCAAGATGTCCAATGGGCAACTGGGTATGCAGCATTATAGTTCAGGGTAGACTATGGCTGGATATACAGATCTGGGAGTCATCCATATAGATATGACAATCAAACCTCTGTGCGTTGATGAGGTTACCATGTAATAGTGTAGAAACAGAAGAGAATAGGATCCAAGACAGAGCCTTGGGGGCAACCATGGTTAGAGGCATGACATGGATGATGATATAGCAGAGGAGAATGAGAAGCAATGAGCCAACACACAGGAGGGGAACTAAGAGTGGGCAATAACACAAAAACCCAGAAAGGGAAGAGTATACAGCAGAGGATGGTCAGGAGTGGCAAATGCTGTAGAAAGGTTAAGAAGGATCAACACTATGAAAAGGCCAATAGATTTAGCAACTAAGAAATGACTTCAGTGAAGGCAATCTCATTTGATTCATGAGGTCAAAAGCCAGATTGCAAAGGGTTTAGAAGAGAGGGAAAGGAGAGGAAGTAAAGAATAAATAGAAACAGCTTTTTCAAAGAGTTTGGTTCAGAAGAGGAGAAATCTAGGATGCTAGCTAGTGGGAATGATGAGATCTATTGAGGATATTTTTAAGGATAGAGAAAAGTTGGGTTGTTGCCTCCATCTAGGCAGTGGACTGGGACCAGAACTGGTTGTGGATGGGGATAGAGATGATGGGGCCAGAGGTAGATGAGACTGAATTGACAAGACTTAATGAGACCTGGTTATTGGGAGCAAAGGAGAGAGAAGATTCTCTCAGCCATTAGAGGTCTTCAAACAGAGGCTAGATGACTACTTCGCAGGCATGTTGTATTGGAAATTCTTCTTTTAAAGATGAGAAAACTAAAGCTCAGAGAGGTTAGTGACTTGCCTATAGTCACACAGCTCATAAGTGATTAAACTGCAATTCAAATTCAGGCATACAGGTTGATAGACTTTCCCCTTCCCTTACACCAAAATCAAGTAAAGTCAACAAATATTTATGAAGCACTTATTATGGGACGGGCACGATGCCTCTCCAACCCCAGAACCAAAGAACAAGAAAGCGTGATTGCCATTTCTCCTTTGTGGAAGAATAAGGAAGAAGATTGGGTGCTGACAGTGATCACTTTCGTGGGGCTGAGCCTCTCCCTACTGTGTCTCTTCCTGGCTGCCCTCACCTTCCTCCTGTGCCGCACCATTCAGAACACCAGCACCTCCATTCACCTGCAGCTTTCGCTCTGCCTCTTCCTGGCTGATCTCCTCTTCCTCATAGGAATTAAACAAGCCAAAAATCAGGTATAAATGGCATCCCAAAATACTGGCCCCTGACTGCCCCCATTGCAGGCACACATTCCAGGAAATGGGAGCAGCTAGTAGATATTGGAATTCTTGTTACCTGTGACATTGCAATGTCCTGTTCTCTCTTTCATTTGTTTTAATGGCTCTGGGCCCTGAGGGAGGGTGTTGTATAAGGGAGATTATCTAAGGACTTCACTCCAGGCCCAAAAGCTCTTCTGATATTGTATCCCTGTCCTGCCAGGTCCTATGTTCCATCATTGCAGGCTTATTACATTATTCTACCTGGCCTCTTTCACCTGGATGCTGCTGGAAGGCATGCATCTCTTTCTAACTGCACGGAACCTGATGGTTGTCAATTACTCCAGAGTAAGCCAATCACTGATGAAGGTCATGTATCCCCTGGGCTATGGAATTCCAGCTGTGATTGTGGCTATTTCTGCAGCATCAAGAGCAGATCTTTATGGAACATCTTCCCAGTAAGTAGAGCTTATTCATCCCTGCGTGCTGCCATCCATTGAAGATGCTAGAACACCAGGTGGGAATAAAAAGAGGATAAATTGTCTTTGTGTTCCCAGTGCCTAGCACAGTGCCATGAACATGTAGACTATTTTTGTTGTTGAGTTGTTTTCAGTTGTGTCTGACTCTTTGTGACCCCCCATTTGGGGTTTCCTTGGCAAAGATACTACAGTGCTTGGGCATTTCCTTCACCAGCTCATTTTACAGATGAGGAAACTGAGGGAAACAGGGTGAAGTGACTTGCCCAGAGTCACACAGATAGCAAGTGTCTGAGGCCAGATTTGAACTCATAAAGATGAGTCTTCCTGACTCCAGGCCTGATACTCTATCCACTGCACCACCTAGCTGCCCACATAGGCTATTAACAAACACCTATTGAATCAAAATAAGTCAAATTGAACTGAATTGAGATATCAAGCTAGAAGCTTCCTGGATAAACTTTAGCATACTTTATGTGATTGTCTTTGGCCCACAGATCTTTAAGCTTTAATAGGAAAGTCTGAGCAATTTTTCAGAGATAATTGGGTCATAAAACCACCTTATCATATGGGTTACAGAGCTCCTACCAACTGTACTCCCATTCAGGAAAAATGAGGGTGGGGATGCTTTTAATAGACTGTTGTTATGGTGGAATCCTTAGGATTTTCATGCAGGATCTTGTGGGCTACAACCAAAGAAAGCTTTTTTGAAGCATAAAGTGGTTTGCCTAATTTATCAACAAAAGTAAAAATCACTTTGAAAATATCAGAAAAATTCTGATCCACAGGAACAGTCTTTCTGTCCGTAGACCTGAGCCCAGCAATTTAAGCAACTGAAAAGTCTTCTTGGAGTCCTAATGGTGGAGACTGTGTTATATTAAGTACAGTAAGTATTGTGGGTAGGATACTGAGAAGGGACACAGATGCTCAAAGGATCATGGGTCAGGTGGTTTATGACTCACGGGCAAACAAGCAGGCTGCTGCTCAGTCAGAGCACCCTAGGGGCAGCACACGCAGTGGGATGTGTACTCTGGATGACAGTCCAGAACTTTGGGCCTCCGACTTTCTATCTAATTATTGTTGCTGGGCAGAGTCACAGGGACTGGGTGAAAGGGGAATCAATCAGCAGGTGATCTAGACTTATCACCCACATACACAAGGAAATTGTGATTAGGAAAGTTTGCTAACCTTACATACATGAATTAGATGAAGTGCGCTAAAGCTATTATGATCAAGAGGGCTTTGCATTCCTTGCCTCAATGTAGCAGACCAAACCAAGATTGGGTAGATAGGAACTGCCCGATACCCAGGCAGGTGATCAAACATGGAGTTACTTCTGTTAGGCAGGACATAGCAATAAGCCAGTTATCATAAACCTGGGATTTTTATATGCATAAGTATATATATGTTATTTATATGAACATATAAATAAGTGAATATGTATACAATGCATATTGGAGACATGATAAAAATATATACATACAACTAGATATGACATCTGCGGCACCCCTCTCTCACACATGAGGTCTTAAAAATAGCAGCCACAGGTTCGAGATATTCCTTGGGTCCTTATCTGTTCAAAAAGATAGCTCATAAACTCCATCAATCTTTACTTTTTCTCTAGTCAGCCAGAGGACACAATTAGTTCAAAGCATACACGGTTAACAAAATTACATTGGAAGAAGATTTGAAATAGAACTTTTGCCCTATAAATATAGGGCATGCCATCATACAAATACACATATCATCACTGTGAAGAGTGATTTAGCATAGGAATCAATCAATGAACATTTATTAACCATTTACTTCCTACCAGGCAGTGTGGTGAATGCTGAGATTGCAAAAAGAGGAAAAAGACAGTCCCTGCCCTCAATGAGCTTATAATCTAATGGAGGGGAGGGACAACACGCAAACAAAGGCATATAAACGAGTTATATACAGGATAAATAAGAAATAATTAACAGAAGGAAGGCACTAGAGTTAGGGTTTGAAAAAAGCTTCCTGCTGAAGATGGGATTTTCCACCAGTAAGGAACATATGGTGAGCACAGGGAGAAACTCACACCTCCAATGCTACAGGATCCTGGATATCTTCCAATGATGTTGTCAAGTTTCTCTCCTTTGGCCTGCTCTTCTCTGGGTCTGGTGACTCCACTGGGTATGTACTGGGCTTGTTCCTTAATGGTTTTGTGTTGCCTACCACGGCTCACCGGACACAGTGTGTCTGCTCTATTAGACCCTCCTGGTCTCAAGCTACATAGTCTTCTCTGGCATATTGTTCAACTTATCTCAGTGTCTCTCTATCAGATATTGCTCCTTGCTATTATCTTCTTGATGCTCCCCTTCAGGACCAGCCAAGCCATCTGTGCTTCAGTCTGCTAGGGTATAGTGGCCAGACCTTCTCCCTTATGAAAACAGGCTGACAGTTCTTTAATTATAACTATCACATCCAATTAACGAAAGCCAGGAAGAGTGCCCTTGGTCTAAGATTAGGTCTTTCCCTTTTTATTCATATGCCTGTGTAAGATATCAAAACCTTCTGTTACCAGTAACTAATTTAGAGTTTGGACTTACTTATTCCTGAGATATTGCCTCAGCTATAAAAGAATTTGATCCAGAACAAAAAAAAAAGTAGACTAGGGAAATATGGTCAGTATTCTCATCAACCTCATCCAAATTCCTATCTTGTTATATACAGAGGAATCTGGCAGAGCGGATGAAGAACTGACCTTGAAGCCAGGAAAACCTGAATTTGAGTCCTGCCTGACATAGACTGACTCTATATCCCTAGGCGAGTCATTTAACTTCTTGGTGTCCTAAGCAACTTTCCGCAAGCATCAGTTCCTGAGAAGGTTCAATCTGCCTTATGAGAGGGCATGTCTTCACTTGGGAGTTCCCTACACCAGTGCAATCCTAGTTCCCAACCAGATCCTTGTTATGCACATCTCTGATTACCATCCAGTTTTGCTACAGTATTTAAAACAGCAAAATCAATCTCCCTACATGTGTATGCCTATGATTTAGCCAGGATTTAGGAACCCCTGGGATCCAGGGGCAGCATTGCCTAGTGAGTGGAATACTGGACTTTGAATCAGGAAGACCTGGATTCAAAATCTGTCACTTACCAGCCCCATAACTATAGACATCTCCTCTCTGGCCTCAGGCAATTCCCTAAGATAACAACAATAATTAATTAGTAATAGCTACCACTTATATAGCACTTTAAAGCAAATCACTTTGTATAGATTATCTCACTTGAATCTCACAATAAAAATAACTAGCATTTCTAGAACATCTTAAAGTTGGAAAGGCGTTTTCCGTGTATTATTTCATTTGATCCCCGCAATAACCCTTTGAGGTGACTGTTAATATTATCCCCATTTTACAAATGCCTAAATGGAAGTTGAGAGGTTAAGTATGGAGAACTCACACAACGCAAGCATTCACATGGTGTTGAGAAGAAGCTATACAATGACACTCTCAAGGTTTTTCTTAAGAACTTTGGAATTGATTGTGTGACGTGGAAGATGCTGGCACAGGACCACTCAGCATGGCTGTCTTATCAGAGAAGGTACTGTGCTCTGTGAGCAAAGCAGAATTGAAATAGCTCAGAAAAAGCACAAGATGCACAAATTTAGAGAATTCACCCCAAATGTTCACACAGAATATTTGTGCCCTACCTGTGGTAGAACATTCCAAGCTCATATAGGATCAGCCACAGTGGGACTCACGGAAACTTGACTTTAGCATGGTGATGTCATTCTGGCCCTCTTCAGCAACAAAGGACAGCAACTAACCTACTTGCCATGGAACATCCAGCTAGTATATGTCCAAGGCAGGGTTTGAATTTGAGTTTTGCTGACCTCAAGTATATAAACTCAGCATAGATTACAAGCAGATTATGATCTGTGTTGTTAGAAGGAATTCCCACACTAGTAACTCCCACAGTGACAAAATTATAGGTGGCACTATCCACTGTGCTACCTAGCTGCCTTATAATATTTCAAGTTTGTAAAAGACTTTCCATGAATCATCTTCATTTGAACTTCACAACCCTGTGAGTTGTCTACCACCGATATTATTATCCCCATTTTACAGGTAAAGAAACTGAGTCTCAAAGGAGTATTGGGGGGGGGTACGGGTATGGGTATATGCACGAGCATCTGCAGCACTGCATCAGACCACAGACGGTTAAGTGGTTTTTGTTGACGTCAGTAGGTATACCTGACAAGCTAACCCAGGTTTCCTTTCACATCACCCAAAGCTATCTGCTCAAGTTGGGGAAGTCTCCATCTCACCAAAGATTAAGAAAGATTTTATACCCGTCAATGCTGATGCGCTCGGCCACCAGGGCTCACTAATTGTTCTTCCTTCTCTGTCTCAGCTGCTGGCTCCAGTCGAATAAAGGATTTCTCTGGGCTTTCCTTGGACCAGTCTGTACTATAGTCTGTGTAAGTGAACATATTACAACGTAATTCTAGCCACTAGACAGAGGGATCTCCAACAAGCTAGAGGGGCTGAACAATGTATCGGGAGCAACAATCAATGATCCTGGATGGTCAGGTGGCCCAGGTAGCTGTGTAGATACATATGTTTGCACGGGGAGGGGGGGCGGACACACATACATGTGCACAGTGCAGTAACTAGTGCTAAATCCAAACTCAGGTTCCAGGTAAAGCACTTGGGCCGATGAATTTTGTATTGTTCCCGCAGGTAAACTTTGTTTCTATTCTTCTGGTCCTTTGGATTTTGCAGAGCAAACTTTCCTCCCTCAGTAGTGACGTATCCACTCTCCAGGACACAAGGCGAGTTAAAGCAAAAGATCCTTAATCTTCTGGGCTGTCTCTGAAAGACAGAGCCATGTTCCCTGGTTGGGTTCAATGTCACATCTAAGCGCACCTCACAGAGTCGTAGGACCACAGGTTTAGACCTGGATGGGACATTATAGGACATGTAGTCCAAACCTGCTCTTTTTTGTTTAGGCAATTGGGGTTAAGTGACTTGCCCAGAGTCACACAGCTAGTAAGTGTCAAGTGTTTGGTCCGAGGCCGGATTTGAACTCAGGTCCTCCTGACTTCAGGGCCGGTGCTCTAAACTCCACGCCACCTAGCTGCCCTGAAACCCACTCTTTTAGAAATGAGGAGGGGTAGCTAGGTGGTGCAGTGGATAGAGCACTGGCACTGGAGTCAGGAGGACCTGAGTTCAAATCCGGTCTCAGACCAGATACTTGACACTTACTAGCTGTGTGACCTGGGCAAGTCACTTAACCCCAATTGCCTCGCTAAAAAGAAGGAGGGAGGGAGGGAGGGAGGGAGGAAGGGAGAGAGAGAGAGAGAGAGAGAGAGAGAGAGAGAGAGGAGAGAGAGAAGAGAGAGAAGGAGGAAGGAAGGAAGGAAGGAAGGAAAGGAAGGAAGGAAGGAAGGAAGGAAGAAGGAAGGAAGAAGAAAGAAAGAAAGAAAGAAGAGAAAGAAAGAAAGAAAGAAAGAAAGAAAGAAAGAAAGAAGAAAGAAAGAAAGAAAGAAAGAAAGAAAGAAAGAAAGAAAGAAAGAAAGAAAGAAAGAAAGAAGAAGAAGGAAGGAGGAAGGAAGGAAGGAAGGAAGGAAGGAAGGAAGGAAGGAAGGAAGGAAGGAAGGAAGGAAGAGAAAGAAATAAGAAAACTGAAACCAAAGGAGAACAAGTGACTTGCCCAGAGCCACACAGACAGTAAATAATAGAAGAAGATTCAAACCAAGTCAGTATTATATTAACTACATAAAGATGTCAAAATAAAGATGATGGTGCTCATCCCATATGGAGCAATGGAGCTGGATCTTAATGAAAGGAGGGATTTAATCCCATCACTGAAGCAAATAATTTCTCGACCTATATGGCAAGGAAGTTGAGAATTTTTATTCTCTTCAGCCTATCCTTTTCCTTGGCCCAAGTTCTTCTAGGTTTTGTCCAGGGTTTGGGGAGGGGGTGGGGACTCTCATTTGCATATATTACATTTTTGTTATTTGTTTTTTAATCATGTCTGATTCTTTGTGACCTCATTTGAGGTTTTCTTGGCAAAGATACTGGAGTGGTCTGCCATTTCCTTCTCCAACTCATTTTACAGATGAGGAAACTGAGGCAAACAGGGTTAAATGACTTGCCCAGAGTCACACAGCTAGTAGGTATCTGAGGCTGGATTTGAATTCAGGAAGATCATCTTCCTGACTCCAGGCGTGGCACTATCCACTGTGCCACCTAGCTGCCTTATAATATTTCATAAAATTATCAAAATTCAGCTCATATTTAATGTCATCCCAGTTTAAATGCTAAGGAAATTTCCAAATATAGTTGACATCTTATTTATCCATTAAGTTTTTTATTTCCACCCTAGTTTTGCATGATAGAAAAAAGGAAAAAGAAAAAGACTCACTTTTTCCTTTAAGTTCATTTGCTACAAAAATTCAAAAGAGAAGAGGACATAGTACTGAGTCTCCCAAATGTTGCTCCCTACTTAGGTTTAAAAAAAAAAGTCAAGGCATGTAGCACTCTAGCACTTGTGCCACCTGGGGCAAGCAGGATGAAACACACCCTGGACAGGTCAGAGGAATGGGAGAAGAGTAGGCCAGGCTGGGGAGAAGCTTCAAAGGAGTATGGCTGTAGGGGGAAGAAACAGAGAAGGGCACAAGAATTTATCAAGCACCTACTATGTGCCAGGAACTGTGCTATGTGCTTTAGAAATATTATCTCATTTGGCCATCACACCAACCCTGTGAGGTAGGTGTCATTATTATCTTCATTTTACAGTTGAGGAAACTGAGGCAGGTGAAGTTTAGGTGACTGGCCCAAAGTCACACAGCTAGAGAGTATGTGAAGTATGATTTGAACTCAGGTCTTTTCTGATTTCAGGCCCAGGCCTCTCTCTGCTATACCATGTAGTATCTGGGAGTTTCCTATTCTTACTAATTATTCTTACCAACTAAGTGCTAAGATCTATTGTTTCTAAGCTGTTGGTGAACTACATTTGCCTCTAGTACCCTGAACTAGAACTCTAGTCATGCCTTCATTATGGCTCTGGAGACGTGACCTTATTTCAGTCAGAATCCCCAGGCCTGAGCAACAGGTAGACGAAGGTTTTCCAATGAAAAAGAAGTTTGTATGAAAATATTGGAAACCACTCAAAATGTGTCAAGTGAATGACAGATCTGTAGATGTTTATTAAGGAGAAGTCAGGCTTTTGGAAGATTCTTGACAAAGATTTACAGGACAGCATTCTGTATTACTCTGAGTCAGTCCCTACCCAAGGCAGAACACTGTCCCAGGCAGACATTGTCCAGGCCCACTTTTGTGAAAAAGACGCTAAGCTGTTGTTTTTCAGTCATGTCCAGTCTCCAGGACCCTTTTTGGAATTTTCTTGACAAAGATATTGGAGTTGTTTGCCATTTCGTCCCTCCAGTTCATTTTTACAGATAAGGAAACTGAGGTAAACAGGGTGAAGTGATTTGCTTAGGGTCACACAGCTAAGAAGTGTCTGAGACCGCATTTGAATTCCAGTCTTCCTGACTCCAAGTCCAGCACTCTGTGCACTATGGCACCACCTAGTGGCCATTGAGAGTGAAGACTAAAACTCAGCCCTCCATCCGAGGACTTAGTCCGTGGAATTTATGTCTATGGAACTCAAGTCTATGGAACTTATCATAAGACTCAGGCAGAAACTGGGATTGCTGCCAAGGGGGCTGAGAGGCAGATGCTCTCAGAACATATAACAGATTCTCGCCTTGCACTCCTATTTAGGTTGTTGACATTTAAAGCCCTGGCTCAGTTGTGCCTGCTGGGCTGCACCTGGTGTCTGGGCATTCTGCAGATTGGCCCAGCTGCTTGGATCATGGCTTATCTCTTTACTATCATCAACAGCCTGCAAGGAGTCTTCATCTTCCTGGTGTACTGTCTCCTTAATCATCAGGTGAGTTCTCTTTCCACTTCTCCTTTTCCTCTCCCTCATTGCACACAGTGAACTAACCCAGAGACTCCTTTGGCTTTCCAGGTTCAGGAACAGTACAAAAGATGGCTCATGACAATCAGGCAAACAAAATCCGGATCTGAGTCACTCGTGCTCTCAAGCAAGGTTGTCTCTAGCTCCACCCAAACCCAGACAGTAAGAAAATCCACTGCTCTTTTAATACCTGCTCATCATGTTGCCTGTGCTACTTAATTCCTTGCATTCTCTCTGTCTTCTCATAGGGCAGTTCAGGGTCAGGATCACTGACCCATAGGCTGGCTTGATCCTGGTATGGGCCATTGGCTGCTCCCTTAATAGCTCCATATTTCCTAAAGGGCATTATGCTCTGTTAAGACAGCATTTTCTCCCTTCCTTGCCTCTGCTATCCTGAGTGGAGATAAAAATAAATAAATAAAGACAGACAGCTTTGAGGCAGGCACCACCATCCCTGGAATTGAGTTACATCTCTATGCCTAATAATAATAATGACTAGGGGTAGATAGGTGGCGCAGTGGATAGAGCACTGGCCCTGGAATCAGGAGGACCTCAGTTCAAATCCAGCCTCAGACACTTCACACTCACTAGCTGTGTGATCCTGGACAAGTCACTTAACCCCAATTGCCTAGCAAAAATAGTAATGACTAGCATTAGTATCACACTTTAAGGTTTGCATAGTACCATTGTAGAGTGGCACAGTGGATAGAGCACCAGGCTTGGAGTCAGGAAGACTTATCTTCATGAGTTCAAATCTGGCCTCAGACACTAGCTGTGTTACTCTGGGCAAGTCACTTAACCTTATTTGCCTCAATTTCCTCATCTGAGAAGGAAATGGCAAACCACTCTAGTATCTTTGCCAAGAAAACCCCAAATGGGATCATGAAGAGTAAGACACAACTGAACAACAGACAAGAATTGTATGGCAGACAGAGATTAAGTGACTCATCCAGGGTCACACAGTAAGTATCTGAGGCCAGATTTGAACTCAGATTTTTCTTATCAGTGCTCTATCAACTGTGCCATCTAACTATCTCTTATTTTAGACATTCTCCTTCTATCAAACCAAGGCTAGGCAAGAGGATTCATGATGCTCTTCCTGCCGTGTGTCATTTCACCTATGCTCACAGTCTGGCTGAAACCAGAGGACAAGTCATGCTCGCAGCTTTAGGTTTTTCTCCCGAACTCTATGTGTACATCTCATCGTCTCTGTTTTTTGTTTATCTCTTCCAGGAGAATCAAAAATGAAAAACGTCTCAGTCCCAGTGGTCAGGAAAACGCTGCTCATTGATATAGACCTCCTGGCCTGCCAACAGCCTGGCCTCACGAAGAAGTGAGGTGAAGAAGAGTAAAGAATATGCTGGCCAGTTTAGGGAGGAGACGACACCCTTCTGTGCCCTTCCTCACGTTGAAGGTTCCAGGGAGAACTCACCAATGGGGGAAGGGGCAGAGAGAGGAGGCAGCCAACGCATGGTAGCAAAGTCAAAAGGATCATGCTTATACTTTGCCAAACCCCAACCCTGACTCAACACTGGGGTCCTTCTGGATGATCTGTCTTCTCTGGGTTTTTATGACTCTGCTCTTTCTTAATTCTCCTACTTATCCAACTGTCTTCTCAGTCTCATACGTTGGCTTTTCATGTCACAGGAACTAAGTGGAGGTGTAAAGAAGGGTATGCTGGTAACTGTTTAACAACCAGATTGGAGTTGGGGGGAGGTGTTGGAAATGTCTGCTGGGAACATTTTTAAGTTTCATCTGCACTGTTAACATTTTCTCAAATCTAGACAATCAACAAAACAATAAATGAAGCCCTGTTTGGTAGCATTTGCCAACTTCTGAGGGGCAAATGCTCACATTGTAAAATAATTAAGGATATTTTATACCTAACCCTTGCATAGTGTCTAGCACTACTGGAGGAAGTCACACAAACATGCCAGCCCAACCTGGTTCTCCTACAAATTTCAGTCATCTAATCTCAATTGGGCCCTCGTTGCTCTTTGCCAAATCTTTCATTTTTTCCTGATTGACTCAATGTTGTGCTCCCCCTTAGGGGTTGTTCCAAACCTTCTCTCCTTGCCTCAAGCCTTCTACTTCATCTATTTCCTACTTCGTCTCAGCACAGAACTTTGCTTCATGGTTTGTTGTTGTTTTCCCCCCTGGGAAAATAAAGTGAATTCATCAGGAAAGCCTTCATCTCCTCTATTCATTCAATGTACCAACAAGCACTTATTTAATGTCTATTATGTGTATTTAGAACCATATTACATTTGAAGAAATTTTAAGGGAAAACAGGTCTTAGAAGATAGAAGTTGAAAGAATCCACTGAAATCACCTGCTGAAAATAATTCCAAAATGGAAACTCCCAGGAATATTATACTCAAAATTCAGAGCTCCCAGTCAAGGAGAAAATATTGCAAGTAGCCCAAAAGAAATCATTTAAATACCATGGAACAGCAGTCAGGATCACACAAAATTTAGCGACTTTTATGTTAAAGGAGTAGAAGGCTTGGAATATGAGATTCCAAAAGGTGAAAGAGCTAGTATTACAACCAAGAATAACCCATCCATAAAAACTGAGTATAAACCTTTCAGGGGGAAATTGGATATTTGATGAAAGAGAAGACTTCCAGGTATTCCTGATAAAAAGGATCAAGGCTGAATAGAAAATTGGACATTCAAATATAAGTGCTCAGCCCTCATTCAGGGTCATTTGGCCTAACTGAGGCAGCCTTTTTGATCCATTTTATTAACAGATTTGTACACTCTGTTAATAAACCGATAAAGCTCAGAAATTTTGAACCTCAGACTAGTTTTACTCATTTCTATCACCACAAGGTCAAAGAACAAATCATGGAAACAATCATTAATTTTAATGAAGACAATTAAAACAATAAGACAACAAACCAAAATTTGTGGGATGAAGACAAAGTAGTACTTAGGAGGAAATGTATATCTCTAAATGTTATATCAATTTTTAAAAAGAGAAAAAGCAGATCAATGACTTGGGCATACAATTTTTAAAAAAAAACAACTAGAAAAAGAACAAATTTTAAATCTCCAAATAAATACCAAAATAGAAATCCTGAAAACCAAAGGAGAGATTGATAAAATGGAAAGTAAAAATAAATAAATTAAAACCATCAAACTCATAAATAAAACTAGAAGCTGGTTTTATGGGGAGGGAACAATAAAAACAGATAAATAATTGGCTAATTTGATTAAAGAAAAAGAAAACTACCAGTATAAAAAATTAAAAGGGTGACTACACCAGTAATGAAGATGAAATCAAAGCAATTGAGAGCTATTTGGCCCAATTGTATGGCAACAAAACTGACAATCTAAGTGAAATGGATGAATTTTATAAAAATATAAATTGCCCAGATTAACAGAAGAGGAAATAGATTACTTAAACAATCCTATGTCTTAGAAAAAGAAATTGAACACACCATAAATGAACACCCTAAGAAAAAATCCACAGGGTCAGATAGATTTACAAGTGAATTCTATCAAACATTTAAAGAATAGTTCTAACATGATATAACTATTTGAAAACATAGATAAAAGGGTCCTATTCCAGGACTTTCTGTGACACAAATATGGTTTTGATACCTAAACTAGCAAGCAGAAAAATACATAAGGAAAACCATAAACCAATTTCTTTAATGAATATTGATGCAAAATTTTAAAATAAAATATTAACAGCAATATATCACAAAGATCATACCCCATAACCAACTGGGATTTATACCTGTAATGCAAAACTGGTTCAATTTAGGAAAACTATAAACATAGTTGACCATATCAACAAAAAAAATGAAAAAAAATCATGATTATCTCAATAAATGCAGGAAATTTTTTAATAAAATACAATCCCATTCCTAGACTAGAAACACTATAAAGTACAGGAATAAATGTAACTTTTCTTAAAATGATGAGTTGTATCTATCTGTTGTTGTTGATACTTTGTTCTCAAAGAAGATAAATGACATCATGAGAGGGATGTCTTGATTTACAAGCATTATTTGTATGACGAGGTTAAACTAGAAGCTTTCTCAACAAGATCCTGATCTTAAACAAGGATGTCCATTATCACCACTATTATTTACTATTGTACCCAAAATGTTATCTATAGCAACAAGACAAGAAAAAAAATTGAAAGAATAAAAATAAGCAATGAAGAAACAAAACTATCACTCTTTACAGATGATAGGTATACTTAGAGAACCCTACAAAATCAACTAAAAAACTAATTGAAACAAATAACATCTTTAACAAAGTTGCAGAATATAAAATAACTCCACATAAATCATCAGCATTTCCATATATTAGCAACAACACATAGCAGGAAAAGAAGAAAGAGAAATTCCACTTGAAATAACTTCAAACAATATCAAATAGGAGGCTATCTACCAAGACAAACCCAGGAACCATAAAAACATAACACCATTACAAAACACTTTTTACACCAATAAAGACAGATCTAAACTGGAGAAATGTTAATTGCTTGTGGCTGAGCCAATATAATAAAAATGACAATTCTACCTAAATTAATTTTTTATTCAGTGCCATACTGTTGCCAGCAATCAAGCAGGGCACCAAACGGGAGAGTGCGAAATAAAGAAAGACATGGGCCAGGCCATTCAGTGAAGACAGAGTGTTGATTCATCTGAGGGTCACAGCATATATAGAAAAAACCCAACGTAACTTCAAAGAGTCATCCCCGTGAGACACTCCCCAAACATCTTCTGTGTACGTGACAACATACATTTCCTTGTTATCAGGGTTCCTAGATAGGGCAGTATATTCCCAGATCTTCCCCGGCTCCACCTGCGTGGAGGAGTGGTGTATAAATCTAAGGTACCAACAATTATTTTTCTCATGGGAACAATAACCAAGGGAGTCCCCCTTGAACCGTTTCCTCACCTCCTATAATCTTCAAGGTCCTTCTGTTCTCAAAAGAGACAGAGCAAGGGGGTTTGGAGAGCCCACATTCCTGACTTAGGTAGCCATCGGATAGAGGAAAGCAATAGGTAAAACTTGGACCAGCCTGAATCCTCTGACTTGTCAGTGCTGGCCCTCAACACCATACCAATCAAACTACCAAAGAATTATATTATAGACCCAAAAAAAAAGAATAACAAAATTTATCTGGAAGGACAAAAGATTAAGAACAGGCCTGCACAACTTTGCCACATGCCAAAGGATTTCAGGAAGTCAGTGGAAAAATGTTGAGGAAAGCATCCTTTGTATATAGAGGAATCCTTTGGAGTGCTTCAAGTGGCTGGAGAGTCCCTAAGTGGCTAGTACACCGCAAGTTGTGCAGGCCTGGTTAAGAACATCAATGGAATCAATGAAAACAAAAAAATGTGAAGGAAAGCGACCTAGTAGTACCAGATTTCAAACTATATAATAAAGTGGTAATCATAGAAACAATCTGATGTTGGCTAAAAAACAGAGTGGTGGATCAGTGCAATAAATTAGTACACAATAAACAGTAGCAAATGACCATAATATTCTAGTGTTCAATAAACCCAAAGATCCAAGCTTTAGGGGCAAAAATCTCTTTATTTGACAAAATTTTCTGGGAAAACTGAAAAGTAGTTTAGCAGAAAGTAAGCATAGACCAACATCTCACGCCCTATTCTAAGATAAGGCCAAAATGGGTCCATTATTTAGACAGAAAAGATAAGTATAAGCCTAATTAAGCCTATAAGTGGAGAAGTAAAGAAATTACCTGTCAGATCTATTACCCTTGATATTGGAAAGTCCCCTAGCATTATATAACACCAGATTTTGGTACAAAAAGATACTATTTTATATATTCCTGTGCTTTTTATTATTTAATGTAAATTTGCATTGTATTTTTCTAAAGCTTTTTCATACAAATATATATGTGTGTGTCTAAAACTGGTATCTCTTTTTTACATTGCCAAAATTTCTCCCAGTATATCTCCCCATTACCCTGTCCCAGAGAACCACACCATATAATAAATAATATATTTTAAAGAGAAGAGAAAAATTAACAAAACTGATATGCAGAAAAAGTCTGAAATATGGGCAGTGTGCCTCACTCATGAACCTCCCTGGTGTTCAAAGGAGTGAGGAGAGAAACTCAAAGATTTTAATGTCTTCTCTAAACTCTTCTTTGTAATTGTGCTTGTTTTCTGCAATATTCTAATATTCCCTTTTGATGGTTTTGTGGTTGTCTTTCTGTTTGCATTGTAATTGTTGTGGCTGTTGCTTCCTTGGCTCTGCTTACTTCATTCTGCACCAATTCATATAGATCTTTCCATGCTTCTCTTTCCATCTATCAAAACTATGTGTTTCACTATTTTTATTTTTAACACAGTCTACTGTGTTTCTGGTTTTTGTAATATTGAACCAAACTTGCATTTCTGGTATAAACTTAACCTGCTAATGGTGTATAATTTTTAATATGTTACTGTAGACTCTTTGCTATTATTTTATTGAATATTTTTGTCTCAATACTCTTTAGAGACCTGCCTGCCATTTTCTTTCTCTTCTTTCTCCCTTTAGGATTTAAATATTAGAACCATATCTTTCTCATTAAAGGAATTTGGTAGGATCCCTTATTTCTCTCTCTCTCTCTCTCTCTCTCTCTCTCTCTCTCTCTCTCTCTCTCTCTCTCTCTCTCTCTCTCTCTCTCTCTCTCTTCCCCTCTCTCTCTCTTTTTCTCTCTCTGTCTCTCTCTACAAACAATCTATATGATATTGAACTTAATCTTCCTTCAAACATTTTGATAGACCTCTTGTAGGTACATCTAGGCCTTGAGTTTTTTCCCTTTAGGGGTTCATTTATGACCTATTCAATATCTTTATCTGAAAATGGGTTGTTTTTATTCTCTATTTCTTGTTTTGTTAATCTTATTCTTTTGTATTTTGTAAATATTCATCCATTTAATCGAAATTATCAGTTGTATTGACATAATTGGGCAAAATAATTTCTAACTACTTACTTCATTTCCTCTTCTTCTGTTGTAAATTTTTCTTTTTAATTTTTAGGTAATGATAATTTGGTTTTCCTCTTTTTTTTTTTATCAAATTAGCTAGTATGTACATTTTGTTAGCTTGGGGGTTTTTTTCCAAAAAAAAGTATCTCTTAGTTTTCTTTATCAATTCAATGGATTTTCAATTTTATCTCCTTTGATTTTCAGAATTTCCATTTT